ACATGCAATTGAAATCTCAAAACTATCCAATATTTTATCCGTCTATAAAATTTAGTTCATCATATATATAAACGTGTATAAAAATTTTTCGCTATCGAGCAATTGAATTTTTTGATTGTTCAAAGTGGAACTGAAGCGTTTATTTAATTACAAAGAGAATCACCATGAAATAGTGAATTGTATTTTATTAATTTAACAACGGAACAAGAAAAAAGTGAAAATGAAAGAAAAATAAAATGAAATAAATGATGAAAGGAAGACAACTAGTTAGCAGTGTAGTATATATAAGATCGCGACATTTAGAGTCTTACAGTTTCGACGCGATTAAAAGTTAGTACAACAAGAGTAGAGGCGAAAAGCGCGGACTTAACGAGATCCTGAAGAAATAGATTGGATGAGCAGAAAAGAACCAGCGAACGGCAGAACCAGACAAACGACAAGTATAGAAATAAATGAGAAAGTGAGCCATTCAACATTATTTTATATTTTTCCCTCACCGGCAATTTTGCACTCACCTCTCAAACTTTTTTTATACGCAATTATAGTTGATAATTGCGCTCTATAAAGCCTCGGAAATTTTATTCCGTCTTAAAGCCTTTCTTGTTTTATATTTTTTTTTTAACATTCAACATTAAACATTTCTGATTCATTTGTTAATTAATTATTGTGAAATTATTATGAATTCTAGAGGTTATTATTTTCTGTAAAATTTAAAAATATTTCAGCAGACTCGACAAAGGATTAAGTGTCTGGGAAGATATTTAAATGTTGAGATATATAGCGGCAGACGGATACAACGATTACGAAAGAAGAACATTCAAAAAATATTTTCGTACGCTGCTGCTTTGAACATAGCTGACATTCTCCCCCAGGCCCTTCTTTCCCTTGTTATCGCATTACATTCTTCAGATTTATGTTTCATGGAAATAAAATGCTAAGCGAGTAATGGAATTGGACGGAAAAAGTCGCTATTTAAATTATAGATAATTTCTTTAAATTACACTTATCTACCCTTAACATGTATATATTTTAATACTTATTATTTTAGATATTCAAAGTTTCAATTTGTAATTAAAAAAATTCCAAGAATTGAAATTTCTGGTTTTTTAACTATCGAAAGAATTTGGAAAATTTACGGGTACATTTTTTTTTCAAAAACTAACAGCTATATCGTTTTCTTTTGATGATTAAAAAAATTTTAAGACTAATTTCAAACTAAAAATTTAAAAATAAGAAAATTAGATTCAATTTTTAATTATTTTCAGTTGAAAAATTCCTGAAAATTTCAAATTTTTAAGTTTTTAATTAATGAAAAGTGTTTAAAAAATTTTTTGAAATTTTTTATCTCAAAAAATAACAAGACAGTCATTGTCTTTTATAATTACTGACAAAACTGTTGAAATAAAAAATTTTCAAACTAAAAGTTAAAAATAAAAAAACTTGGTTCTAATTTTTCATTATTGTTAATTAAAAAATTCGTGGAAATTTTCAATTTTTAAATGATCAAAAGTGTTTAAAAAAATTTTTTTTTATTTCTAAAAACTGACTAGTGAATCTCTTCTGTTTCAAGAATTATTCAAAAATTGTTGACCTGAAAAACTTGAAAAATAATATATTATATTAAAATTACAAAAACAAACAATTTAGAATCACAATTTTTTTTTTATAAATTATATTTATATCAGTCCTTTGAAACTTACCCGAATGGTTTTATGACTCTTGTTCAAAATATTTCATTCGGAATAAAATAAACATGTTTAATTAAAATAAAAAGTTATTAAATGAAATTCATAACTCAGTATCGTTATAGAGCACTCAAAGTTTGAAATATTGACCGAGTTAGCTTCTAGCTCGGATAGAACTATGAGTACAAGTGTATTACCAGAACCGGAATATCTCGAGGAGTTTTATTGACCGATAACGTTACAGAACAATGGACATTGATATGCTAACTCCAAAATATCAACTAGAAATTGCTATTCACAACTTTTGAATTAATGTTTGAATAAAATTAAATCTTCCTCATGCAAGTGCATGCGTCTGCACGAATATGAGCATGCCATTTCACTACAAAATTACCTCTTTGCATTGGACTATTCAAGCAACGAAAGACAAATAGAGAGTTTGACAAACGTCGTTCTTCCTTTTCAAATCTCACTCATAAATTAATAACAATAAAATTAATATTTCAAAGTCACACAATTTCAATCCAAGTAAATGGAAATATATCTCCGACAACTAATCGCAAGCTTTTAATTTAATACCTGGAGAATTCCCGTTAAAACTAAAATCTAACCACTTCGTCGTAACTACGGCCATCAAATAAATCTTTAGATCTACACAGTTATAAATTTAACCCCCTGTTAAAAAGTTTAACGACGTTAGAACTCGTAAAAAATTAATTTCCCGGATTTTAGATACAGGTAAGTCTCATCTTGTAACTACATTAATGTTAAGTAGTTTAATTAAATTATTAAGCGATTAATTAAACATTTATTATTTAAAAAAAAGCCATTCGGTTGTCAAAATGTAAGTAGATCTTTTGAAGTTATCAAAAACTTTTAAAATTGTGAAAATGAATGCATTAGTAGAATTTTATCAAATTTTTGGTCAAAAAAAAAAATATAATGATAATAATAAAAACAACATAGTCAATTTTTACATTCAATAATTATTTCCAGAAGATCATACAAAAATATCATTTTTTTTAATTTTCAAAATTATTTATTTATTGTTTTTAAACTAACTGGCCAATTTGGGTTATCTTTTAACTTGACCTAAAAAATCATCCAAACAACAACTATTTTTATTTTTATTTGGATCCAATAAAAATTGTAAACGCTGTCGTTATGACAAGCTTTGTTACATTATATAAATATATAAATTATTAATAAAATATTTAATAAATCGATAATCTATAATTAAGGATATCCCGAGCTTATAATTCTGTTTTTGGCAACTTAATTTACGATGCACTGTATTGTTAATATATAAGTCTAATTTAAGTAATTTATGACTGTTATGTATAACCATTATTACAATAGACTGGTTCTAAGCACAGGTGCAATTGTGCATCTTAAGAATTTTTTTTTTAGCAGAAATAAATGAATAGAAAAAAAAATAATAATTAAATTAGGAAAACAATCTGTATTCACTGCTGAATCCCATAATAATCCCATAATAAATCCCATAATAAAATTGAGATGAAATGTATGTGAAACCAATTTATTCGTGATGTGATTGGTCGAAAATAAATATTCTCATTCTGATTGGTTGAAAGTGAATATAATATACATAAACGACACATAAATATATCATGACAATAAATATGACGCGTGCGCTTGCGCGCGAAAATTAAATTCTAGTATTATAAATTCTGGATAAAAGAACTTTGGCTTAATCATTTTTCGATATATTTTTATTTACAATATACATGATTGGAGTACTTTTAAAATATATTTTAAAAATAATATCGATACAATAAGATCTATGGACCAGTTATTTAATAGACAGATATCGCGGAATAAACTTATAGAACCATTAAATTATTCAAAACTCTTTTAAAAACTTGGCATAAAAAGTTGACTTTCACGAAAAAATTTATGGACATAAATTCAGGTCAAGATCTTTCTGATGATATCAAATTTTCCTACAAAAATTTCTTTGAAAATAATCATATGTTCGTCGCAAAATTGTCCTACTGTTCTTAATTATATAGTTTAATAATTAAATGTTTTTTTTTTTGTATTAGCAATAAAATTTCAGTTAAATTATAAAATTCCAAACTCAATTTTAAAATACTTGAAATTACCCAAATTATACCAAGCTTACACACTCAACATCATTAATTGTAAGAGAAAAGCCCATGACAGCTAAATTATACCATCAGAGTATTGAAATGCTGCGTAAATTTCTACCCAATAATACGAAAAGACAAATAATATAAAACTTTAACTTCATCTCGTATCCTTACACTGATTCCGATAAATTTTTCCTGTCGTTTGCTCGTCTCAACGGGTGTATTCTATTGGTTCGTCAACACAATGCTCGCGGCATCGATCACGTTTGCTGTTGCAAACGAACCAGCACACACAATACCAGATGAAGCAACATCGACAACGGCAGCCTCTATATTACATGTATAGGAAAGCAATAAGTGTTACTATGTATGCTCGGCTTGTCTTCTCGTCACGGTTGACTTCCGTAACAACTGAACCGATGACGTCTACAATTCCCGACTGCTGTGTTCCTTTCATGCTTCCATGTCTTGCGCTTTACATTCATAACAGTCGGATAGAAAATCATCGTTGTTATTATTCCCCTAACAATTATTTGCGAAAACCAGAGTCCAAAAATAGCTTGTGCTAATACCCATACAAAGTTTGGAAATCGGCCCTAGACTGGGCCATTGCTGGGCCAAGAATGTCGATTAATGGCACAGTAATGGCAATTTTCAATGGCCAATAAATGGCTTACAGTTGGCATGATAACCACGGCCCATTAATGGCATTGAACTATTGGGCCATTGATGGCAACCAGCAATGGGCCAGGCATAATTTAATTATCGGCCCATTGATGGCAACCAGCAATGGGCCAGACATCATTTGAACTATCGGCCCATCAACGGCAAACAGTAATGCGTCAAATATTTTTTTTACTATCGGTCTACTAATTTTAAGCTGTTCTGCGCCAATTATGATTTTAATCGTTTGTCCTTTAATCGCTGATTGCTGTAATAACACTTATTATTATAATTAATCACTTACACTTTATATTTCACTTTAAAATTATTATTATTATTATTATTATTGCTTCATTATTTTTATAAGGATTATTATGTATTAATAATTTTTATGTTAATTTTAATATTAATTTTATATTAATTATAATTAATAATTATAATTATATTAATATAATTATATTAATATTAATTATTTTAATAATAATTTTATTATATTAAATAGATTATAAAGATAAGGATTATTATATTAAAAAATATATTATAAAGATAAGGATCTCTGTTTTCGACCCTGTTCTCGATCTCCTTGCCCTGACAACCACCGGCCAACTTTGCCAGCAAAATGTTTGCAATCTTCACAGTCACCAAGTTTCTCTTTTACTACATCTGCAATAAAAAAAATAATAAATAATTCGATATATTAAAAAAAACAATTACATAAAAATCATTTTCATACCTTCCATACACTTAAATGTTTCTGTGGCGCTAAAATTAAGTTTTCTCTCGCCTTTTATTTTTTTCCCAGTACCAGAGTAATTTTTTTCTACATTTTTGGTTATCAGTGCAGATGCCATTTTAGTAATGCATCCTTTCGCTGTATTTTCGCCAAAAATTTTGATCCGGAAAAATGTAAGCTGGAAATAATTACAATAGTTAATTTATGTAGATTTAATTTAAATATTACTATAATAAAATAGTATAACAATGTATATAATATTTACCAATGCCTCTCTTTTTGATGCTTTCTCTGTTAAGTCAGTATCAAACTTCTGAAAGTCCCCTAGATTTTTAATTGGAAGCTCAACATTCAATGTTTCAATCGCACTTGATGCACTTTGTTGAGGATTTGTAGCTACTTTGTTAGCTATCAGTGTATTTTTAATTTCATCAACATATTTTTTCATATCGTACTGCAAGCTTTTCTTCTCATTTATTAAATAACGCTTAACTGACTCAGTTTGTTCTCTCATTTTAGCGCTTATAAATTCTTTCAAGGATTCTATAAAATTATTTAAGTAAGTTTTAATGCAATTAAAATAATTATTGTTCATATAAAAATCAATTTACCTAAGTCAATTCCTTCCCTCGCTTCAGAAATCATTGTTATTGTGTCAGTCGAGTTTTTTTCTGTAAAATCAATTTATTTTTTATAAAATCAACTTTTTTTCAATTATATAACATATAGCCTGATATTTTTTTTTATAAACAAATGAGAATACTTACCATTAGTTTGCTGTTCATTTTTTTTTTTGATTTATTTTTCTCTATGAAGCCACTTGATGAACCTTCATCGTGCATTGGTAGTACATCATTCATTTCATTGAGAACACGTGCTTGTGACATCATCAAAGGCTTTCCAATTGGTCTGCTGGACTCGTCAGTGCTTTTAACGTTAGTTGTGGTAAAAGAACGTTTTAAACGTCTTTTGGCTTGCGAATAATCTCTATTCAAACATAATAATTAAGAAAAAGTTTAGTAATATGGTCTTATTTAAATCATTAATCATTTTTTCAATAAAATGATACATATATAATTACCTGCATAAGAAATGATTTGGACTGGATATTTTGACCAAGAATTTTTCGCATTTCGCAACTCTTGCACATACTTGTCGAGCTTGTGATAATTATCAGGGTCTGGATAGTACGAATATGACTCCTCATCAACTTGAGTGAGCCAGCTTGATGGAACGATGTCAACTTCTTTTTTTCCATCGGTTGGGGATGGTAAAAATTCCACAATAGCATAAATGTCATCTGTGTTATTATCCCCCATCTATAAATATGTGTTAATCATATATGATTAATACTTAGCATACTAATTATTAGAAATAATTAGTATACTAATTAAATAATTGAAAATAAATTTTTTTTTTTTTTTTTTTTTAAATCAGCACATCTAATAATTGCTAATGTTTAAATAAGAAAATAATTGAAGACAAGAGAAACAGATCAGTCAATTTTCACTAATTTTTTATTTTTATGCAAAAGTATACTTGAGAATTAAGATTCATTTCTTTGACCCGTTACATTTTTTATAGAATTTTTCTCTAATTAATAATTTATCACAAATATCAAGATTAATTTTTTTTTTTTAATAAAAATAAATAATTTTTTTTTACAACTTTTCATTCTTCAGAAGAATTACCTTTTTCCAACTACAAACTTTTCCATCAAAATTACTATTACTTTTTTTTTATAATCAAAAATGTTTTCCATCCAATTTTTAATTAACTAGAATTCAAATTTTCGCGCGCAAGCGCGCGCTTGACTATAGAGTTTGCATATATTTTCATGCTTATGATATATTTGACCAATCACGTTACGAATAGTTTGATGCCACATACATTTCATCTCAATTTTATATTAGGATTACTTCTTAAAAAAAAAACAATAATTTTTTTTTTATAATTATTAATTCTTCAGGACAATCATTAATATTTTTTTCTAATTGAAAATTTTTTGAGCAAAATCATTATTTTTTTTTCTAATCAAAAATTTTGCTACCCACTTTTTCATTAACTTTTAATTTCAACGAAAATAAAGTAAAAAAAATAAATTTTTTTGCATCACCTCATCCTGCTTCGATGATGTTAATTTCCGATAAAATTCCAAAACAATTTAAATTAACCACGTCTGTAAGAATGAGTGAGTAATGGATCACTGTCATTGGTTAGGTAAACCCATGAGCTGTGAAATGAAGGACTTACGGAAACAAAGTAAAACCATGAAAGGTTCAATTAGGCCCGTCTGTCTGGTGGAGCCAACTCTGGTGCTGGTGATACGTTTCCCCGTGAAAAGCCATCAAGCTTAGCCCAGCCATTCCTTCTACTCTTCATCCCTCCTTTCCAATCCCATCACCAAAAAAGCATGGCCAAATTCACCAGAGGAGAGAGCAGAGCATCAGCTCACAGTCTGCATGCTGATGTGAGAGCATTCAGCTAGCATCACCACCACCAAAGAGAAGGAAGAGGAGCTGAAATTAGAATGACGAGGGTGGAGTTTTTGGTTGATGCTTGCTGCTTGATATTTGATGGTAAGAGACTCATCCCACCGGCACAGAGCATCTTTCCATTTAGATCTCGGCTTTTCTCCTAAGTGAACTTCCAATCTTAACTTTAAAACCCAAACGCGGGCCTACGGAACGTGCTAGGGCTGCTACCAAACCGTGGCTCAATTCAAGCCTTCTCATTTTTTATGTTTATATGTACAACACACACTCCGACAGAATTTATATACATCATCGTACCAAATGCTTAAAACATATCTTTTTCTCCTGGCATTTTATGTTTTAGCAATTTTTCAACTCGATGCTTTCTGACTTTTTCGATTACATCTGATGTGTATGTATGTGTATCAATATGTTCGGTGGGTGTCAATGTACTTGAAAGCGCTGTTTTATAAACTTTATTTTCCATCTCCTCGTTCTCTTCGATTCCGACTCGACTAAATATAAACCAGTTTAAATAAGCAATTTTAAATATAAAATTCCTTCGACTTATCTGTCGAACCAGTGGGCTGTACTACTGAACCAGCAAATTATTATCCCGGATTCTTTTCACGTCTCTTCTGCGGTAAATTTTGTAGCAACAAGTGGCGCACATTTTATGCCTCACCGATGCACTTTCGGGTGTACATTTTTTCATAGATTGTTTCCAAGAAGATTAAATCTAATCTCAGCAGTTTGAAATTATTTTTAGGTGGTGGTTAGTACTTAATGAGATTCTTTTCCCTCCTCTGAAAAATGGACAATCCAGGAATTTGTAGTTTTTCTAATTCATTCTTTACTTGAATTTTCTTTCTCTTTTAGATAGATCTATCGATTTCTTTATACTTAACTCTCTAAAACTGAATTAGTGAAAAATTACTTATTGATAATTTATAGTTTCTTTTTCAAAATTTTCCAAGTATACGACTACTAATCAGTAGTTAGTAATTTTTTTAATTTATAAAAATGGTCACGTCCTGAATTAGTAAATTATAGACTAATTAGGAAGCAAAATTTCAGGAATAAAATAGATATGACTTTTTAAATTAGTAAACAGTAACTATAATTGATAATAAAGTCTGTAACTACTAATTTTGATGTAGTTTTCATTCTCACTATTTCAACAAATAAAAATTTTATTAATTTAGTTTCAAAGAGAAGAGTATAAATACTTAAAAATCTAGGCCCATCTCGAGGAGGATTCTGCTTTTCAAAATCATCCTCAAACCTTGAGGAAGATTGAATAATTTAAAAGAAATTTAAGTTTTTCCGATTTCTTTTTCAATAGAGACTTTTTTTCGAGTCCCGAAATAAAATTTTCCAATATGACCTGATATGTCTATATATATCTATATTAGAATATTATAGGCGTCTCAATATCATCCTTGATATGTTCTTATATGCTATGCCCTTATCAAGCGCGAAATGCCCATGTATAAACACATCCGGCTTGATATAATCTAACATGACTTAACATACCCATATATGGTCTGATAAGATCATATTTGCCTATAGTTAACATTTTTATCAAAAGTAGTGTTGAAAATCTACAACAGATGGCGTATGATTGTTGACTCGTCTCTCTATAAGAGAGTTAACTTTGAAGTATAAAGTTATAAAATAGATTTCATTTTTGTACTCTCTTAAGAAGCTTCTCTGACATTTGTATTTAATTAAATTAGTCCGTAAATCAATTTTTGTTTAATAAAACATTTAAGTTCACGTAAATATGTCTGTAACAAGTAAAAAATTAAAAAATTATTTTTTATAATTATTATTTTTATCGACCGTAATTTAATTATACATTAAAGTTCTATCGCCTTGCGATCAAGTTACTAGCGAATCTTAATTCCTGGCTTGGCAAAACCAACCCCATTTATTTTTTCAAAGTTGTCTTTGCTCTCATTTATATTTCTTTAATTTTCTTTCATTCATTAAGAACATCTTTAACTCGAACAGATACCACATAAGCTCTCAGCTTCACCAGTATTCAGGTTCGGTGGCTCCCCATCGAAAGTATGAAAAGAGGGAATATGTCCCTCAACCATTATTTGAAGATGGAATGTCCATCCGTTTGGCTTGAATTAAGATTCACTAGTAACTTGATCGCAAGACGATAGAACTTTAATGTATTATTTTTTATATTTAATCTTATATATAATCTGATATATAATCTAATTTCAATTGATAAATCCTGAAGATATAGGCCCAGCCCGAAACAAACTTTTATTTAGAATGACCCTCAAACCTTTTATAAATTAAAAAATAAGAATTACAAGTCAAATTATTTGAAGTTAAAATTTCTTTTATTGAACCAACCAAAGTCTACATCAATCGTAATTTAAAATTGAAAAGTCCAGGGCAAACAAAAGCTTGATTTATCGACAACTAAAAATAGTAAAATACCCATTGATGAACACAAAAACATAAAAATATGAGATGCAATAAATTTCTATACATTTGTCTCGAGGCAGTTTAGCAAATATTACCTCGAATATAAACCAAAGTTCTTCAAATACTACACCAACTGGCACATCAACGCAATCCTTATTTAGAGTCCTACAGTATAATGACATTGGAGGGAAATTCTCAAGCCCTATCCTGCGAGATTGGGAGACTGAATTCTGGATTCTGGCGCACTGATTACACCCTGCGGTGCAGCCGGCGCAGACGAGATAAGCTATAGCTCCAGTCAAGTGGGAAAATGAGAGAGGAATATCACCAGCACCAGTGTTGTACTACACCAGTATCCGCAGTAATAGTTGAGGTTCTAGATATACTAGTAGTAGTAGATGTCGCAGTTGAAGTTCCAGGAAGGATGAGGCTTGTCGTATCACGTATGATTTACCACCTTTCTGGAGTTAGATACTCATAGCAATAGGTGATTACGCTCTACCTTTTTTTCCACTTCCTCTTCTCGTCTTTACAAATTTTCCACAAACCCATCACTAATTGAAGCTGTTTCATTTATACACCTTAATTGTACAAATTCATGTATTTATTCAAATTGTCGTATACAATAAAGAAGAAATATCGACTCTTATTATTGTTTATTCTTTGTTTACATATTTTAGATAAGATAATTTTTTTAAGAAATTCTATAAATTTCTTTCCTCTAATTTGAATCATAATTTTTGCAGGAATAAAAATATTTACTATTTTACACTAAAAAAAACTACTGTAAAAATTTTTTTCATGTTATTTTTAAATGATACTCCGTTTTTGAGGATTCTAGAATATAGGTAAGATCTGAAGTCTCGTTTCTTATAAATTTTGCTAATTCAGGGCCTTACGAAATGTATTAACAATTTTTTTTTCTTTTTATTAAAATACTATTGCGACAAGAGTTTAAAAGTCTCGTTGTTGTAATAGATCAATTTGATAGGGCCAAAAGCGCTGGGAACATCGAAATTCAATATCTGAGACCTCAGATCTGATGAATTGGATTATTTTATAGGAAAATCTTGACTGAAGTATCACTTTCACAGGTAAGGTCCGGAAACTAAGTTCGATAGAATTTAGATTGATGTCTGAAGACAATTTTTATGGTATAGATTTATTTTTGGATATTCTAGAATATGTTTACTGGAGTGAGACGATTTACTATTTTTTAACCCGCAAAACATCTTAACACATAGTTTGTTCGTGATTTGAATTTTTTTTCTAATTTTTGCATACTAAATTTCAAGAAAAAAATCTTTGAAAAATGATTGATAATTCAGATTTCGGTTAAAAAATTGAAGATTTGTTAGATTTGAATTTTTATAGCTAAAATATTATCTCGATTA